AGATGGTGGTGGCGGGACGACGGAAATGGAAGCTGGCCAATCACGAGCGCGTCGTTCCTCCTCATCGCCCAATCAAGGAGAGGTCCATGAGATATTTTGCCTCCACGTTAACACGATGGCGGCACCCGCGTTTACATGTCCAGGCACAGAGTGTCTCGTACGCAATGAAAGCCAATAAAATCACGCATCTCGATGGCAACACGCTCGAGAGCCAATGAAATCACTCATCTCGCGGGCAACGCGCGCAACGATACAAAAAGCCACTCTCGTCGTACTCGGTCTCTGGCGTCTGCTTCTCCCGTACAATGCATCTAGAATACTGATGGGCTATTACATGTAGCAACTCGCCGAGTCGAGTGCACCACCTCCTTGATCGTTCCTCGATCGGAGACGTTCGCATTTTTCTCACATCGGTTCGGTTTCCTTTCATAGCGGATTGATATATGCCATTGATGCGCGCCACACTGCTGTGGTTGCAATTTTCGGTAACCTCATTCCCAGAAGCAGTTGGCATACTCGAGGCTCAAACACTTGACGGTGCGCTGAATGCAATTGTAAGAGATCGAGGCAAGAATCTCGTCGATGTCTAACGCAACACTAAAAATCTCTAATCACGACAACTAACGCTCCTCGCTGACGCACCAACCACGCCTCACGAGCGCATTAGAAAGACCACCATATCTTTATAATTGCATGTAATAAATCTGAAAATCGGTCCGTGGAAATTGACAATCGAATACTTGCTTCCGGTAAAAGCCCTTGACAAGGATACAAGCGACGCCACTGGACTCGACATCGATGCTTCTTGGGCTCTAACGTTTGGACTGCTGTGCTGGATAGGATCAACGTGTGTTGCCTGCAGCGAGCGCTCCATATATTACCATTTTATGAGGTTTTGGATATTGATATCGCCACAACATCTCTTTCTATAAGAAGCACCGACGTTGGCGGGGCTTTGCTCGCGTTATTATGATCGCCGAAGCCGCCAACGCGTTGTACGAATCATGCGATACCTCGATGAGGCGCACGCGACCATGGCACGCGACAACGTTTGGGACACTGGGATGGAAAAAGATATCATTGGTCGCTCCTGATTGGGCGATGATGGGAAACGACGCGCTTGTGATTGGCCGGATTCCATTTCCGTCGTCCCGCCGCGACAACCGTGCGTGTTTATACTGCCTTGAATCACGGCGCCAGTTCCGCTTCCAGATTTTCATTTTACAATTTCCTACAAAGCACTCATATCCAACCATGGCATCTCGCTCACTCGCAACCAGCAGTCGTCGCCACCTCCACCTCAACTACTCGGACGAATGTGTCAAGGCCCGCACCGAAAAGGTCCTCAAGAGTATGCTCTCGCAGCTCAACCAACTCGACGCGGACACGACCAACGCCCAGCTGCTACAAAAGGCGCTGCGCTACCGCAACCGAACGCGCGAGCTGCAAACCAACGACGGCTGTGACGTCGGCGCTCGCTTTGGCATCTCGTGGCACAAGACAGTAGTGACCACAGAAGCCTAGTCCATCGTTTAGAACGTCTATTTAATTTTCAAAGAGTGCATTTGTGCAAAGAGTGCATTTGTGATTCATCCTACACTGTTCACAGCACACTTAAAAGTAGGAATTGCGTAACTTTGACCAACCCTCTTGATTGCGGGCAGCCCACAGAAGCAGCAACAGCACTCTCCTGCATGGAGCAGAGTCATACACTTATATATTTGAGCATGGCACCGCAAATGAAAATGTTGTGTAGTAGCATAACAAATATGGAAGGTGCAGTCTAGTGCAGTAGAAATTTGCCTCTTGCAGGTTGCGTCGTCGCGCCAAAGTTTGGCCTCGTGCGCGATCTTCTGATTGGGAGCGTGCTTCAAGTTGCCGTGCGTCAAATCGTCCATCGCTGCAACCGAGTCCGTGTGCATAAATGCTGCACCGAGTATCGGTTGGTACGTCGAACACACAACCCAGGGCCACAGAAGCCGATTGGCTCGATAATCTCGGACTTCCGGACGCAGTATATTTATATCTCGATTGGTGCTACCAATGCGCATAGAATCGGCGCCAAGTAGCGCGTAATCAACGCCCGACCTTGATGGTAGCGGACGTGACAAAGACGCGGCGCGGCTGCTTCACCCGTGTGTCCATAGTGTTCACTTTAATTTCCACCGGCATGCCGAACGGCCGAGAGCCTCGTGCGATGTTGCTGACGTACACGGACGACCTTGTGCGGCGGCGCACCGAGACTGTGCTCCGACGACTCGTGAGCCACGCGTTCGAGCCGACGTCTGCCATCAACACGTTCTTGGCACGAAAAGCGCTTCGGTACCGAAGGAAAAAGCTCGAGCAGACTACCCGAGCCGACAGCAGCGATCTCGCACTGTCCTTTGGTATCACGTGGCAAAAGACCAAGACGCCAAGCGAGCCCGATAGCTGTAGTTAGAGAGACACTCTCTCTTCACCAATTTATTTGATTTGAAATGAATCGCGCCTTGGCTCGCTTTTGCTTGCATCCCAAAGTGCCATACGACGCGGCGTCGTGACTTGAAGCTAGCGGCAGCGCAACGTGGCGTCAGGATCCGACCTCGGGAGATCCATCCGCAAGCACTTGGCCAATCACAGCACCGCGTACCGGCAACCGACAAATCAAATCGCCCCGAAACGTGCGATTCTGAAACGGCTGCTTCTGACCGGAAGATCGCAAACATCGAAGGTTGCGCACACGGTGGCAACAAACCGGACGACGCTTCTCGTAGCTTGCAATCACCGGGCGACACGCCAACAATAGCACTGTTCAAGTATAGCAATACATCATACAATATGACAATAGACATACGGTGTAAGCTTTCAAAGTTATAGTAGTGCTTGACTTGAGCCTGCCAGCTTCGCAATTCGGCCCATGTGATAGCGAGACGATTCGTGATTGCCGCCGCATCGCACCCTCGTAATCAGCTCAAAGCGATCGCGCTGACACCATTTTGGATCTCATGTCGGACGTCACAAGCACCCTCGTCGTGCTGGCCTCGCTCGTCGGGCTCGTGCTGCTCTGGACAAAGCCTCGCAGCAACATCCCGCTGGTCTCGTACTGGATCCCGTTTCTCGGGTCCTCTCTCGCGTTTTCCAAGGACCCCATTGCGTTCCTCAACAGGTGCCAAGCCACGCACGGCAGCGTCTTCACCGTGCTCCTCGCCGGGAGGCGCATGACATTCTTCACGTCGCCAAAGCACTATGCCACAATCCTCAAGTCCAAGTCGCTGAGCCACAAGCCCATCTTTTCCGAGATCGAGGAGGTTGCGTTCGGACAAGATCCGGTGTTTACGCACTACCGCAACGACCTGCGCAAGACCGACGCGAACCTCACTCGCTTCAACTCGTTGCCGACACCGTACTTGGCCAACCGCGGCGCCGTTCTCGACCTCATCCAGCGCACGTTCGCGTGCCAGCGCGCCGTCTTGGCCACGCTCGCACCGCAGCAGCATGGCGTATCGCTTCTGACGCTGGTGGAGCACGCGATCTTTGCTTCTGGGTCCGCCGTCATGTTTGGCGAGCGCGTCCTCGCGGCGCATCCGCGCATGGCCGACGATTTTCTGGCTTTTGACGCCGCCTTTCCACTCCTCGTCGCTGGCTGCGTTCCGTCAGGTATGGTTTCTTATTGCAGCGTGTCGGAAAAAAGAGGCTCATCAGATCGATCATCTAGTGTTTCTCTCCAAGGCCATGGCAAGCCGACAGCGCCTCATCGACGCCTTCAAAGCCGCACCATTGACGGACGGCGCGCCATTAGTGCAGGCGCGCGCGTCGGTAGCGTATTCAAGTTGTCTCTATCCGTACTCAATACCTCGTGTGCGATAGGCGCTTCCAACCCTGGCGTGTGGCAGCGCGACCGACCGTGCGAGTTGCCACCTTGAGATTCTTTGGGCCGCCAGCGCCAATTCGATCCCGACTGCGTTCTGGACGCTCTTTCATTTGCTCGAGAGCCCCGCAGCGCTGAAGGCCATTCGGAATGAAATTGAGACGTACCTCGACAAGAGCCCACTCTCAGACACGTCGGCAGCTCCGTGGACCCAAGAAATGCTGCAAAAGTGCGTGCTTTTAGACAGTACCGTCGACGAGTGCTTGCGCCTCGCTGCGTCGTCGATGCTTCTGCGGGTGGCGGTCGAGCCCACGGACGTGGTCCTCGACAAGGTATTATCTCTACTTTATAATGCGAGGCTCATTGACGCGTAGACGACATATCATTTTGAAAAAGGCGACCGCGTCGCGATCTTTCCGAGCCTGGGACACTTTGACCCAACCCTCTTTCCCGACCCGACCCGATTCCAGTGCGTGTTTTGGAAGCTATGCGAAGTACTCATGATGCTCCTTGTGTAGATACGACCGCTTTGTGCATGCGACAAAAGCGCAGCTCGAAGCATTCAAGCCCTTTGGCATGGGCGCCAACATGTGCCCAGGCCGGTATTTCGCAAAAAACCAAGTACGTTTTGGATTTGGATGGGCTTCTTGTTGATGCCTTTTGTTAGATCAAGATGTGGGTCGCCCTTGTGCTGCAGCATCTTCCAGCGTTGCGTCTCGTGCCGGGTTATACACCGCCGACATTTGACCCGTCGCGCCTCGGTCTGGGGTACTGTACAGCATGACTCTGGTTTGATGAATTTTCATTTTTCGATTCCGTAGGGTCATTCCACCGGCCGACCACGCGATTCACATCGCGTTTTAGCATCAATGTATCAACTTAACTTGCATCCGCGCCATATTTGGTAGTTCATCTATTTCGCACAATTTCTGGCTGCGAACAATGACTGTTTTGAGGTCCCGTTGCACTGTTGTGGATAGAGGGTATGCCAGTACGAGCGCAAGGGGTACGAGAAGGCACGGGGCGATTCTGAGGTGTAGCCGCTTCCATAGGGGTAGGGCTATTCCATTCAGGGTTGGACATGAACGGATAAAGAGCTGTCTGGCATCACTCGTAGTCTGATTCCATGGCAAGATGTATCTGGTATCTGAAACTACATGACCCACGGCGACGCGTTCTGCCCTTGAACGACGACGACGGGGCCATCGCTGTCAACTTCAATGTGACCGACAGCGTGCTTGGCGACCATCATTGCTGGCAGGTGACTCACATCAACGCTCGCGAGGAGACTGAGACGGATGCTCGTGCGCTCGTTTTCACGCGGTTCAAACAAGACGTAGCAGTCGGCGCCCCGCTGACTGATGCCGAGCTCCCGCTTGTACTTGCGGCTCTTCTCAAAGAGCTTGTAAACACTGCCACCCATAGAGTGCTCGATGACGGCCGGCGCGTCGCGACGCCACCACTTGCGACAAGAAAAGAGGCTCCAGCCAAGTGTCCATCGGTGCTTCAAGTCGTTGGCGGCAAACGCCGCGTGGTCGCGAGCCTCGGCGAGCGAGTGCACGCGGGACGACGCATGACGAAGCCGACG